ATCTTCGTCCGCCTTCCACCTTCAAACCACTGTGATGGAATGCATGGTCTCTTTTTTTCCTCGTCGAGCACTACTTGGAGTTTGGAATCTGGACTTCTTCGGGCCCTACCAATTATTTTGATGTTGCTAATTACTTTTTTTTTACTCAAAATTTTGACAATAATAATGAATCACCTGGAGTTGGGAAGGTAGACAAAGCTCTTTCGATGACCATGCATTCCATCAAAGTTGGGAAGGAGGACGAAGCTCCTCCTTTCGATGGCCATGAAAGACTGACAATCTTGGGCATAGAGGTGGATCTGAAGCATAGGGTTCTGGTTTGAGAATGGACTCGTTCGTCCAGATCTAGTTTGTTGAGCTCTGGAAGGCGGATGAATTGTTCATAAGCCAAACAGGCATATGAGGGAGCGGGGGATAAATCGCTAACAGCGAAGCGAAGAGGAGACAGTAGCGAACCACAAGATTTATTGGTATGGTGTTTCTTGTGTTCTTCTAATTGTTTCAGAAGAATAACTCATAGAAGCTCTTCTCCAAACTCAGATGTAGAAAAGAAAAAGAAGCAGAAGAAGAAAGAAGAGGAAGATAGAGACCAAAGGTGGGTAGATTTATTCGGTGGTTTGAAAGAGGAAGAAGATGAAAAGTGTTTCTATCATTTTTTGATATTTTTTTAAAAAAGCTACCCTATTCTAGAAATTATTTTAAAAAGATTATTTTTGTTGATAATAAGACCCAAAAGTTGCCCTTATCAGCTATAATCCCTTTTTTTCGTTACAATTTAATAATAGCAACAATTGTCAAAAACAGTAGGGGCACTTTAAGACAATATTGAAACGGTAGGGGTATAATTAGTCAATTTTCCAAACTAATAAAATATATTATTTTTTTTATAAAAATTAAGGCATATATATAGACATATGTCAGTTTTTCCATCATTTTTCAACAATTATCAATTATGTTCCACTATATCACAATTTATATGGACCATTAAATTTTGATTCTTTAGGGTAAATTTCTTAAACTACCCCTAAGATTTAGGAAATTGACTAATTGTATCCCTATTGTTTTCTGACAATTGACTAAATCTTCCTTATTGTCAGTTTCCGTTAATGAAATGATTAAAAAGACTGTTTTGTGATCATTAATGTTTAAATTTTCAAAATGAAACTTTTGACACCTTTTTCAAATTGTCAAGGCTTATCTTCCTTACCATCACTGTCTTAAAGTACTCCTCTGGTTCTTCTTTGTCTTCCTCCATCTATCTTCGCTACCCAGGTCTAGCCCTTGATCTGAAATGAGGTAGGCACCTATGGAGGAGCTTTGAACAGATACATATGCAGATGTGAGTGGAGGACTACCTTGTACCCATACTATTTTCAACTTTCAAAGCCAGCATAACATCGGCCTCTCTCTCTCGCCACGTCATCTTCATTTTCTTTCCCTCTTGCCTTTGTAGCAGCGATGGACCCCTCCACATCTCTCTCTCTCGCGCGCGCGCATGTTTCATCACCGCCCCTTCACATCCACTCTCAATATTCTGCTCGAACCCCATACGTGCCTTCTCTCTAACCGTCGAAGCCCATTGACAAAAGAATGGAGGTCGTCCGTTCAAATCTGATAGCTTCTACAAATCATCCATATCTGCTCTCAATATTTAGAGAAGCTTGATCTGATAACTTCTTCAAATCGTCCATATCTTTGGTGATAGCATCTTTTCAAATTGTCCATAGAGAAGATTCCGGTGAGCTCATCTGATAGCGCAACATCTACTCAAGGTCGTCCATAGAAACTTGATTCTTGAATATTTGTCATCCCCAAGATGTTGGAAGAAGACCATGAGGTCTAGGTTGTAGAAGACCACGAGGAAGGGACACCCTGAACTTGCTCTTCAGTTGCCGACAACCTTCCCCCACCTCTGGCGACGACAATACTGCTTCAATCCACCTCAATCGAAAACGGCAACAATCCAGCTATCATCAAAGCTTTAGCGAACATTGGAATCGACATCACCATTGGCGCATTGAACGATGACATACCCCCGATTGGCCTCTGGCCCCAACTTCACAAAGCAGTAGATTTGTTTTTGGAATTTCATCGCCTGCTGCTTCTTGGCCACTGAAATTTCTCCTTTGGCTAGAGGATGGTAAGAGACGGAGCTTCGCACTTTCTCCCACCTGAAACTCGGCCCTATTCCTAGACGGTGGAAAGGTGTACGTGAGGCCAAAGTTCAGTTCACTGGAAGCTCAGGTTAGTGTAGTCCGCCACGTATAAAGGGTAATATTGAATTTTGAAAAAAAAATTATAGGTCACGTAGGGTATAAGAATACTTTAAGACAATTGTCAAAAATAGTAGGAATATTTTAAGACAAGACTTAAATAGGGGTATAATTAGTATTGAAAATACATCACGTATCACTGTAACAAAAACGAAGTACCAAATCTTTCATCGCCCTCACAAAGGCGCCATTTCGCATGTCGCTACTGTGGACACCGGTAAGTCCGTTGTCGACACCACTATTGATCGATTTCTCAACCCACTGACATCCCATCTCTTAAAGAGACTGATTAATAAAGAGCAAAGCGTAGACATCCAAATGGGGATCCACGGGACGCCGAGCTCGTCTGCCATGTCGATTGCAAACCATAGGATGATAGGAATACGTCGCTCAACACGCAGGTGATATTCATCCTCGTCTCCGCAACCACCACTTCGAACCCCTCCTTGAAGTTTCCTGGCGCTGCTCTCAGGAATAGCTCTATACTCTCCTAAGGTCTCCCCGTAAAGTGGTAGAGCATCAGCGGTGGTTCGACTCTGTTGTGCTGAAGAATGAGAATGTTGCATCAAGGGTGGCCGCCATTAACCTGAGAGTGATGTTGAGGAAAGGAGCTGCGTTGGTGTCAAATGGGAACGCCATTACGGCGATGTTGAGGAGAAGAGTCACTGCTAACCTGCTGCTGAAATGGTGAACGCCTTGACCCATTGTTGAGAGTAGGCCTATAAACAGTATTCGAAAATCCGAATTTGAATTCGAGATTTGGTGTAATCGAATTAAATTCGGATAATTCGAATTGGATATTTGGTCGAATTCGAATACTATTTTTTTGTCGATTAAATTATCAGATCAAATTCAGATATGCGTTAATCTGATCCGATAAATATTTGAATCGATTATATATATAGAAATGACTCATATCTCAATGAGAACATTCGAAAGGTCGAACCTTACCTCTCTCCAATCTTCATCTCCTTTCAATTTTCAAGTTTCAAACCCTAACCCTCCATCCCTCGCTTTGCCTTCATTGGATGCCGCCCGAGCAACCACCATCACCGGCCACCGCCCCTCATCCTCTGCGACTTCGCCTCTCCTCAGCCCTCTCTCGTCAGTCGTCTCTCATCTTCTTCTCTATCTCTCATTCTCTCAGTCCACTCACTAACTCAGCATTGTTGCCGCCCAAGCAACCACCAGCACTGGCCACCACCCCTCATCCTTTGCAGCTCCGCCTCTCCTTAGTCGTCTCTCATATTCTCCTCTATCTCTCACCCCCAGTCCACTCACAGAGTCAACATTGTCGCCGCCCGAGCAACCACCATCACCGGCCACCGCCCCTCATCCTCCGCGTCTCCGCCTCTCCTCAGTCCTCTCTCGTTAGTCATCTCTCATCTTCTCCTCTATCACTCACTCTCCCAATCCACTCACTGACTCAGCATCGCCATTCGCCGCCGCCCAAGCAACTACCATCACCAATGGTAGTGTCAGTGATAGCGACGGTCAAATTCGAATCAAATCGAATATTCGATTTAATAATCGAATTCGAATTAAAATATTCGATATCTGTCAGATGTCGAATCGAATTCAAATATTATTCTTTATAATCGATTTCAAATTCTAATATAGCCTGATTCGATTTGAATTCGATCCATCTATAGGGCTAACTGAGAGTTGAGATTCAAGAATGAAAGAAAGAGGTAGATGCGTGTAAAAGTTACGGGGAGATGTTGTGGATGTTTAGGAAAGAGGGGGGCAGAGGTTCTTATGCACGCAACGCAAGGAAAGATGGTGTGGGTAACTACCACCACCACATTGATCGTTCATCATGCATTAGTGCGATAGGGTGAGTAATTAACACTGTGGAATCAACTCTATTGCACTTCAACACCAAAAAATATTATAATGAATCGTGTTATTTATTATTTCTTAAAATGCCCCGCCAAACAACCATTCAGCCAAACGAGTGACTTTATGGGCTGTTGCTAGAAACACCCAATCAAACAGTCAAATAAAGAAACGTTTAAAGTGCCGTTTATTGAGAAAACACCTCATCAGGAAACGCCCTCAGAATCAAACAGATGGTTTATTTTCCTTACCCAAACCGCTTCCCAATGCCCTTTTTTAAATTGCGTTGCCATTTGCTTTGAACCTTTGGTACATTAATTTTTTTTTTCTTTTGATAAACTTAGTATCTTAAGGTTATGTTTGGTTTGAAGGAAAATGCAGAAAAAGAAAGGGATAAACAGAGAAACCTTTATAAACATTGGTAAAGAGTATTTGCACAAATGTTCCTCTGGAATGGGAAAAAAACAGAGGTTGCCTTGACAACTATTGTGCAGTCGAATCTAATTTATATTAAAAATTTATCTTATGAGGCGCAATTTGGAGGAGTACAAATACAAATATGTAGACTATAGAATGCAAAACCTTGTATTTTGTTTATATTTAATTTGTGGTCCTTCCAAATTAAGCCTCATAGAAAAAACAAACGAAGCCTTAAAAACTTGGAGAAGAGAACCGGGTGGGGTAACATAAAGAGTGCCTCAGCCTCGATCAGAGCAAAAGAAAAGAAATGCATCGTTTTAACTTTGTTCGAAACAATGATGTTTCTTTACTTGTTTCCTAATACTAAAAGCATAGGTTTGTTAATTGTTGGGGTAGGGCCTTTTTCTTTCTCCTGCTTCCTTTACTTTTCCTTTTTGAGCATGATGATTCAATGAAGGTGCTTTCAGATATCATGATCACTTCTTTTTCAAAGGTAAATTTCTAACCCTACCCACACCACCAATAACCAACAAGAGGGTAGGGGGCAGGTTGGATAGGGTAGGGGAACACAATTATAAAAGAAACTCAAAAAAAAAAAAGAATCTCTTCGTTCCAAAAGCAAACCACATCACACAAGCCAACTTGACTAATAATTTACACCCAAAAATAAACATCTATCGATCAACATGGGAAACCCAAAAACAAAAGACACAACAACGATAAGTATTTAAATAAATAAAGTTATAAATAAAACAAGAGGATAAAGTAACAGATAAAGAAACAACGAATGGGGTGATCCCTCAGGTAGCGTGACAGATTTACACTCTGGCCTTGAATGGAATGGCTCTGATGATGATCTGGTGGTACACTGCAGCCAGAGCAGCTCCAATGAAGGGTCCCACCCAAAAGATCCACTGTAAAATAAGGAACAAATGATTAAATTTATGTAGAAATTAACGATTCAAAACACTGGTATTTGGTCTGTTTTTGTTTTTGTTTAATACGTACATGATCATCCCAGGCAAAGTCCCTGTCGAAGACGAGAGCAGCACCGAGACTCCTAGCAGGGTTGATGCCGGTTCCTGTGATGGGGATGGTTGCCAGGTGCACCAAGAACACTGCAAACCCAATTGGCAGAGGAGCCAAAATCTGCATTCAAAATCATAATCAAACGAAGAAATTAGATGAGACCAAGGTGGGGAGACGACCGGACGGGGGATTCATCGTGAAGACAGACGTGAACCCTTTTTGTACGCTTGCGCGCCGTGGGGACAAACACAGAGTAAAGAACACTTTACAGCCATATACACAGTACAGACTACAGACAAAGGATACCACACCCAATCAGTGAAAAATAAAACCAGCGAAGGGACACAGAAGATACCACCAAAACCGCTTCTGGTTTTTAGATGACAACCCAAATCGGCTAATCCCCATCAAAACCAGCTAAAGAGAAAGAACCCTGGAACCCAAAACCACCTCACAGGACAATCTAATCTAAAGTATGCTGGGTGATTTGCTGGTTCTAAGGCAACAACACAATACATGTACAGTAATCTTATTCTCATCTCAGAAGTTAGAACAGAAGGAACTAGGATTAGATTGAGTAGACTAAAGAAAAGAATTAATACTTACAGGGACGTGGGAGTCCCTGGCATTCCTCTTGGCGTCAGTTGCAGAGAAGACGGTGTAGACAAGAACAAAGGTGCCAACAATCTCAGCACCAAGGGCATCGCCCTTGGTGTAGCCGTGCTGAACAAAGTTGGCTCCGCCGTTCAGCCGTTCGTACTCATGCCTCTGGAAGCCCTTGACAACACCGGCGCCACAGATCGCACCAAGGCACTGCATTATTATGTAGAACACTGCCCTGACTAGGGAGAGCTTCCTTGCCAACAGCATACCAAAGGTTACAGCAGGGTTGATGTGTCCACCTGCAGATCAACATGGGTTAGAACTTAGAAGAGACGCTTTGGACCCAAACAAAGACAAAGAGAATAGACGAAGGGAAAAGCCAGAGACACTGAGAGCCTAGCATTTGTTTGAAACACAGGGAAACAAGAAAAAAAAAAAGCGCAGAATATGGTTTACTGCAAACATTCTTACAGGGTTCCAGAACACAAGAGAAGAAACAGAAGTTTAAAACATGAAGAACGACAGAAATAACAGCACATGAAATATTTTAGAAAAAACAAAGCATGATGAAGATTAGAAACCACACTAAGTAGATAATACAAAATAGAAGAAAAATATGTATATCCTGTGGACAATTCTGTAGACAAGCTGAAATTCTAGTAACAGAAGTAAAGAATTTATGTAATAATCCATGGCAGAAAATTATGCCGAAGAAGAAGAAAAAAGGAAACGCTAACCTGAGATACCAGCCGTGCAGTAAACGAGGGCAAAGATCATGCCTCCAAAAGCCCAGGCAATTCCTTGAATACCCACTGAAGCACATTTGTTGCCAGATCTCCCCACACCCATCACAGTTAAAATGGTGATGTACAAGAAGAGGAAAGTGGCCATGAACTCTGCAATCCCAGCTCTCCAGAACGACCATGATTTCAACTCCCCGGGCTCAAACAAAGGAGCTGGTGGTGGCTCCTTGTAGTCCTTGTCTGTCTGCGCTGCAGTCCCTAGGGGCTGCCTTTCTGAGAACTTGTTAGCTCCAAGCTTAACATCCTCCTCTTTGCCCTCCATTCTCACTCTGTGTTTTTCTTCTTTCACTCTCTCGATTCTCAAAAAGAACTTCACTAGCTAGCTAGGGTCGTGAACAGCAAAGCACACGCAAAACGCTTGCACCAATTTATAGCGTGGATGATTATCTGAGTAATCAGAAGCAGCTTTGGTGATTTTTTTTTCTTTTAAATGTTTTATTCCTTGTTTTCTTTTTTTAGAAATTGAATAAAATACAAAAACCTCTCCTGCACTTTTTGACAAATAAAAAGAATCTCCCTTATAGTTTTATTTTAGTAAATACTTCCCCTACACTTTTGAGAAAAACCCGATAAAAACCTCCCTTCCGTTCACCGTAAGGTTTTTGTCGAGTTTCTAAAAAATTCATGGAGATATTTATTAAAATGAAATTATAGAAGAGGTTTTATAATTGTCAGAAATTTTAAGGAGGTTTTTGAGTATTTTGCAAGGCAAATGAGTAAAGCCTGATGGTTCAAGGATATTGACAGAAGCTGATTTTGTTTTTATTATCTTTTTTGTGCAGATAATGAGTGGATATTGATCATCTGCTCTGGACCGTCTGATTTCACTTAATGCTTATATAAATAAATAGAAAAAGGTTCCCATTCCAGCGTTCCTTGCTTTTTATCTGCTTTATTCATCAATACAAAAATAATAAAAATTAAGAATACAGGTAGAGATTGACCGTTGACGGACAAGTAAGTACAAGCTGCAACCTCACGCATGCAAGCGACTACATGAAAATCCAATACCAATCGTTCATCTAGATATCTACAGGTTTGTGGACCATCGAATTGGAATTGGTCGTTTGAGAACTGTTGATTTGGTATTTTTTCTCCTCGTAAGTCGTAAATACAAATAATATATAATACAAAATCATCTGTCCAAGACCAGTCTCCGGATGAAAATTTGTCGAAAACCCAACAGTTTCTTTTAAACTGTCTTCCAGTCTTGCTCGTGGACTGACAAACATCTTTTGACATTTTAAAATTATTAATTTTTGGTTTCAATAAAATGTAAAGGGGCAAAATAGACAATTGATCTGCTTGGGAGCCTTAAATTAAGAATGTAATGGATCTCTCTTTGGACGGCTATTACAAAAAAAAAAAAAAGATCTCTCTTCGACGGCGGAGATTTGCGCTCATGGAATATGGAATATTGTAGACGCCAAAACAGTATAAAATGGAAATCTTTGGATGGATTAGTTGAGATAAATAAAAGAGAGAAAACAAGGTGTGGACGGGAAAATTTGGCCGTTTTCGGACCGTTGGGAAGGGAGACAGCCTTTAAATCATTGGATGATTGTGATTAGCTCAATCTACGCATATGGGGCAACGAAAGATAGTCGATAGCTATTAGCTATCTTCAATTCTCCATTGTGAATTTAAATCATTAAAATACCCTTTCAGAGTGAAATGGGTTTAGATGATCCACTTAGGATGTTACATTCCGATTTGAGTTCCGACTAATATATCATCTGGACCACTGGGTTCAGGGCACTATACCGGACCGCTGGTACAGTATAGTGTATTTATTAGAAGTCCACTTTTATAGGTAAGTGTATTTATTTATATTTTTTATTAAAATTTATTTCGCTAAATAATGTTCTCTGGCCTTTTCATGTTCTTTTACCCTACCCATTTTTCTCTCATAAGTTTCTAATTTTTGTTTTAAACCAGGCTCAATGAAGTTGCAAGGAGTGGAGAAAATTCACAAGTCCTAACCATAGATATTTAGCATTTACTCTCCATTCAGAAAACTCAGGCCTGTTTGGTGCGTTTTTTCGCACGGTCTTTCGGCTGCTTACAAGTCAGGAACACCGAAAATCGATCTATTCCCGTTTGACATGCGGAAGATCTGGCCGTCAAAAGATGGGGTGCCAAAAAAACGCAGAAAACCCATTTTGGACTGATTTCGGGAAGCTCCAAATGAAGCTTCCTGCATCTTCCGCATTTTAATCTCGCGCGGAAAGACCCGAAATGATGCATGAAAAGATGTGTGTCTGTCAAACGGTCTTCGGGCTGCCCAAATCTTATGTTAAAAGCTCAATGCGTCTATTGACTGTTAGAGCTACGAGAAGATATTCTCAAAAAGACTTGCCAAACAAGCCCTCAGTTTTCCCATGTCCGAATAGAGAGATTTGGGGAAACAATTTTTACCTAAATTTCACATTAATTAAAAAAAAACTTGAATATATTATTTAATGGAAAACTAATTTCATTAACCTAACTTTCCCTTAAAAGTTCAAGAGAAAAAAAAAAACAAAGCCTAAATAGTTCAGCCTTCAAACCAATGTTTTAAAAAACAACCTGGAATTGAAACCGTTCTGACCACTGGTTTCTAGGTTGATGGTTCGACCGTTTGGTTTGAATAGATGGCCTATTTTGACAAAAAATTAAAATAATTAAAATTAAAAAAGCCAAAACCGTTGAGCTAATCAAATGGATCAACAGTTTGATTGTCTAGATAAATGGATTGTTGACCGACTCAACAGTTTTTTGGCCAAAAATTGGGTTTGGAGTAAAATGGAACCGGTTGCTTGGACGATTCCTGAGCCAAATGGTCCTACAGTTTGGATCAATGACAGTTCAAAAACCATGTTTCAAACTATTGGCCTCCTGCAAACCATTGAAGCAGCAATTAGTGACTCAACCAAGTTGGCCTTCTTAGCGGGTCAACTTTCTGTCTAATGTCATAAAACTTTGGTCATTTTTAAGCATCTATTTGGCATCGCTGTCGTTGCTCCAGAAAACAACAACACATCAGCACAATGTCGGAAAAAGCGATGCTCTAGGAAACATTTGTTTGTTTGGAACTATTTTTCCATAAAAAATAGTGCTCCAAGCCACGTCTTGGAAATCGAGAAGGCATGGTTTGGAGCAACGCCGAATTTGATATTTATTGGAGCTGCAGCTCGTTGTTGCCAACAGGAACATGAGGTGGCAGTGACAGAAACATGACATGACATTGGATAATAGGTACAAATGCTGAAAACGTTTCTTAGAACATTAGTACCAAACAGAAAATGTTGATGTTGCTCCAAGAAATATCATACCTGACAATAAAGTTTCCAATCAAAGAAAAACACTATTTTCTCAAAAAAACTATACTTCCAACTCACACAACAGGCAGCACATATACATCGATGCCAAACATATACTAAGCCTAAAGTTCACTCATTCTACCGTAAGTACGATTCCAAAGGATTTTGGTTATCCATTAATTAGCCAGCATGGCAATAAAGGCAAATGGATTATTAAAACCGAATCCGGCGTGCGATAGACTCGAGCACAAGGGGTGAGCTCATAAAGGGTGTGCTACTTTACTTTTTTTAGGCTTTCATATTAGCGGGGCCGGTGTAATACACTGTCACCGATTGTGTATTTTTTCCTGTGGAGTTCAAATCAGCCCCCCACCCAACGCCCCATAATACATTCCTGCCGGAAACAATTGCCGATGGAGATTAGCTTCTATTATAGCAAATTTATGACCACACCGATTTAACAGTCTTTCCCAACCTTGCATTAGGAATATCTTCCCATAAAATAAAGTATATCAGTATAGAAATAATCTCACTGCTCGAATGGGCTTTTTTCCTGACTGAAACCGAATTCCTTCTGATAACATCATCATTTCTGATATTATTATAGAAAGATGTTGTCAATACATGGGGAAAATGTGCTGTAAAAAGTTGTGGGGGGCAATCTCGTAGAGTGCTGATCAGTGATTTGATCTCTTTTCTGTGTGTGCTTACCAAATCTGAACTGTTTTGTTAAGATGGAGGGGCCCAATCCTACCTTTGTAATCTATTTTCGTTGTTTTGTATTTATTCATTTATAAAAAGAAAAAGAAGAAAGCCAATACCAGCCAACTCATTCTCACGAGATACCCTATTGGCTTTGTTCCCAAATTCAAATGTACTACTAGGCACAAACCTAAGTTGGCAAAAGTACAAAAACCCTTTCATTGTCTGTCCACCTGGCCACTATCTCATGTCACAGGCTTAATTTTTTATTTATTTTTTCCTTTTTCCATATAGTTTCAGCCAACCGTCCACCTAATGGGGGCCATGTGGCATAAAAAACAAGCTAGTTCAAGATACAATTTTTTATTGTGAGTCTCAATTCTTGGCACAGGGGACAAGTGGTTTGAGAGTTGAGACCTCTACCACATCCAAATAAATAGAAGCCCTGGAAACAGTTTGCGGAGTTTGGGTCTACTCCTTAGAGAGTACGCCTTACACTAATCTCATAATACGTTTTAATTATGCATTGAAAATATACAGATGAAACGTGCTATGGGGCGCATTTTATGAGGAGCAAATTGGATTTCCGGTTAGAATCTTATCTGTTGTGCCTGCCCAATAAAACATGTTATCCGTCCCCCGTCCCCATTGTTTGAGTTCAAATTGCAACGATCACAGTTGCAACACTTTATTGATGCAGTATATTATTGGCAACTGCAGAAGATTATTGCGTGATTTTGAGTTATATTACTAAGGCTCAGTATGGAAGAAGTACAAATGCAAATATGTAGAGTATAAAATCTTATATTTTGTATTATTTTGTATATATTTGCACCGTTTGTATTTGTATTTATACTCTTTCCAAACTGAGCCTAAATAAGTATGCAGTGCCTTCATCTAAAGCGGTTATTTGTTCGGTTGCTTCATTAAAGATTTAATGCATTGACATGCCTATGGGCTTAAAAATAAAATAAATTGTTATTAACAAAATAAAATAAATTGTTTTCTTCTTTCTTTTTTTTTCGTGATGGCATGAGAAGGGATTGCATGTTCAAAGATGAACTCCATTCATTGTATTTGATTAAAGAATCACTTTTTTTAACTGAATATTGAAGGAAGCAGGTGGAATCTCTAAAGTCGAATTAGCTAGTAAATGAACATAGTCCCAGTTAGGGGCATTCAAATTTGGTTATCAAATCGAAACTTAAATTGAATAAATCAATTTGATTTGGTTACTTTGGTTTTGGTTGGTTTCGGTTTAAAAATAATTCAATCAAACCAGAGCGAAAATCAAATTAACCAAAACAAATACATCTATTTATGTTTTAATTATAAATATTAATATATATTAACATTACTATTTATA